CATAATAGGTATCTTATCCAATTGTTTGATTAGTTATGAGAGTAGGAAGCACCGACATTTAATTTCTCTTCTTATTGCTTCTTCCCACTCCTTGGTAAAGGTGCTAAAGATCAGTCAAAAGACCAAAAGGTTGGCAGCAGGAGGGGGAAGGAAAACTAAATCAAACAGCTACAGGATCTGAAAACTCAATAATCAGCTCTGAATAACAGAGTGAAAAATGCAAAGCTACCCAGGAGAGTTAAAAGGCAGATATTAGGAAAATCTTGCAACTGAGTTTTAAATATGTCCGTCTTTATAAGACTTTGATATCTGATTGATTTCACAGTTCTCTATGATGGGTGGAGAAGATGATAGAATCTGGCCATCCTAAGCTCAAGAACATAGTACAGGACAGTTAACAAACATACAGCCCTGATCACAAATAAAATGCCATAAATGACATTAAATAAGACATACTTCAAATGCATCCAAGAATTATTTTGCCATGTACAAAATGGTTTATTATACTAGATTCCTTCTATGATAGCAGCACTAAGGAGGGAAGGGGGGAGGTAGAGAGAGGATAGATAATAGATAGATAGGTAGATAGATAGATAGATATAAAGATCCCCCATTATTATCTCATTCAAATGGAAAAATCCTGTCAAGAAACCTCTTTAACCACAGTTGGCTTTTAGTCTCAAAGAAGTATGTATTTAGAAAATAACTCTATTGCTATTTTAACGTTTAAAATCCTTTTCCTTCTTACAAAAATATCAGTAAACCATGTGCCTGAGCTGTTTATTTTCCTCCTATCAGGCAGCAGAAAACCTACAAAGACTCTAAAGCTTGCCCTTATAATTCTAATGAGACCACCTGCCTGAAAACTCAGCTGTCCTTGGGAACTAAATCAACCTGAGAGCATTTTGTAAATTATGACTAATGACTAACTGTGCTTCTACTTTTCTGATCTCTGGCTGTCCAGTTCTAAATAAAATGTACCACAACCAAAGAACATAAATAACATATGTATTGGAGCTTTTTTTTTTAAAAAAAAATGCTTCTTGAGAATTAAAAGACAAACACTTGTGAAGCACAGAAAAGAGAAATTTCAAAAAGTTTTTCACAAACTGAAGGCACACCCTGTATGGGCTATGGAAGGCTTTTCAAGAGACACCTGTCAATCTAACGACCCAGGATAGTAGTAGAACAGAAGCCAATGAAAGTGTTCATAGGAAAGATTAAGAAATGGTTTGACATTACAAGCTTGCCAAAACCCCTGGCTATAGAGCCGGTAATATACCTTCAACAGGATAATAAATGGGAAACCAGATTCATTTAGAAGGAGGTTTAGCGATGGGCTGAAATGTAGACATTACCTGGATCTATTCCAGAAATGGATGAGAATCTTCTGGGTAGGCTGCAGTTTTTTTCCAGTACTTGGTAATACACATATTATCAAATGAATTTTATGTGATAAACTTTTCAGAGCAAAAACCACCTATTGTAGATTTATGCAGTCTGTACACTGTGTATAAATTAAGCATGCTCTGAAAATTATGATGGTGCTGTTTAGTGAAAAGGTTGTGAAAGCATGGGATTTATCCAGGTCAAGGCAGACTACCACCATTTTGAATTTCTGAAGATTGCACTGTCATGCTTTTTGGGGTGCCTGAATGATTATGCCTTTGTCAAGTCAATCTATCTTTGGCTTGAACATGAAATTTGTCAATTGAAATACACCTGAAAATTGTAAGCGGAATTTCAGTTCCAAGTACACAGAATGAATATTGTCTCCTTCTGTTACCACAAATAATGAAAATTATTTTAGGAAAAGGCACATTTTCAACTGAGACTCTCTTATAGTTGAAATCACAATGCTCACCTACAAATCTTGGGGTGGGGATACTTCTGCATAAATAAAGTGTGGGGGGAGGTGGGGGGATCATTTGACTATAGGTCCAGAACCACCTGAAGTAATGCAGCTTCAAATCCAAGCTTCTGCTCCCTGCTCTCTAATAGGGCTGTTCGTGACCCACACAAAACCCAGGCCCCTCCCAGCAGCCTGGAGCCAAGGAACGTTTCTAGTTCACCTCACCCACCCTGCTTTTTGTTTGTTTGTTTTTGTTTTTCATGCCTATGCTCATAAATGAGTAAAAAACAAAAGAGGCAAAGCCCTGATTAGACAGTCTTCTTACCCCAAGCCAGGTAGAAAGAGAACTAATCGATATTTAGTACTTTGGATATATTGGCCCTACGAAGGTAAACAATAGCAATAAAACAGAAAAGAATCCTGTATGTCTTTATTTTTTATCATCATCATTATTATTTGGCTCGGGTTGATTATTGCATTTCTTTAGGGCTTTCCAAATACAGACTCAGTATGAGAACTAAATATAATTGCTCTATGCCCCACCAGAGCACAACTATAATCCAGCAGCCTATTCAAGAAAACCAAGGTCAACATTTTCTTTGCAACCCCTGTTTTCAAGACTTCATCTCATCCACAGGCTAAGTTAAAATATCCTTTCATTTCAGGGGCCATGTGAATTTTAAAACTATTTTTCAAGGAAGAAATAACTTGTCTAGGATGATGTCAGTTTTTTTTTCTTTCCTTTTTGTGATACATAGAATTTACATGCAACTCTTTGCTTTAGATTTAGGCCATTTCTTTTCATTACACTCATCACACATACTTCCCACTGGTATCAGTGGGAAATGCGTATGTGAAATACAGTTGAAGCTAGAGTATACTACTCTGCACACAGCCTTGACGTTTACATCAGTCTAATAAATAAGCTAAATTGTCACAAAACTGATTTAAAAACTTAATTTCAGGCAGTCATGTTTCAAGTCAGTTAACTTGCTAAACTGGGATTCACTATGAAATTTCCGGTTTATATCTCGTCCATTCAAGTAAGCAGTATCTTCTCATTTTCAAAAGTAAGCTCTGGCTTCGGCTTGCTACCTCCTTCCAGGTAACGTCAGAATCCTGGGCTTGTTTCACCTGCGGGTGTATAGAACCCAGGCGTGCGCACCCCGCGTCCTCCCCTAGACCCTTCCGAGAGGCCGAGGGGCACCCTGGAGGACACAACCCGAACACCAAAACTTTCTGGCTGCAAACTCGACTGCTGTTGTCCGCGACTTAAAGCGGCAAGACACTGGGAACGGCGCTGGCTTTTGTTCCAGCGGTGCCCAGCTGGCGAGGTCAGGCCACAGCGGTCCTCCCTCCAGAAAGGTCTGCGCGAGATTCCGTGGGACTGAGATTTGGGAGTCTCACGAAAGTAGCCCGTTTCTACGCCACCCGTGGGCGTGGGGTGTACAAACACATGGAAAGGCAGCGTAGAGTGCCTTTCAAATCCAGCTTCAACCTTAGATTCACGAAGTGAGTCGCCCAATCCCCCGTAGGGCGCGAGGGGGCGGGGAGAAATAGGTACCAGAAGGGCGCGCGGGAGACACAGTCAAGATGCAGGGCCAGCCCCGCCTCCGGGTACAATCAGAAAAGCTACAGTGTGCCCGTGGTTTTCGGCTTCCTGTTTGTAAAGCGAGAACCGCCCTGCCTGACTCTGTGACACCCGTTCTTCCTCAAAACCGAGTCCGCCTCTTCTTCGCGCGCGGGGCCGGCGGGGCGGGGGCAGGGCCGCGGGGCGCCGCGCCCCTCCCAGCCGGCGGCCTCCCGGGCCGAGCTGGGCCGCGAGGCGGACAAAGCGTTTCCCGCTCCCTCCCCCACGGACGCGTCCCAGAAGGGAGGGGGAAGGCGGGCTGGAGGAGGAGGAAGAGGAGGGGGAGGAGGAAGGCGCTGCCGGCGGGACTGGGCAGGCTTGCGCCGAGAGGGAAGGGAAGGAGGAGGGGCCGGGCGGCCTCCGAGAACCGGGAGGAGGGCAGGATTCTTGAAGCCCAAGATAAACAAATTGTTCCTCTTCACGTGCGGGGCGGGGGAGGTGGAGAGGGTGGAGAGCGAGCGCCGCGGCCTCGCCTCTTCCCCTCCCCCAAGCCGGCTCTTTGTCACCGAGTGCCGGCCCGAGCGCCCGGCGCAAGCCCGCGGCGGTACGGGTACTACCCTCGGCGCCGACGACCCAGCCCGGAACGTGCGCGATTGTCAACCGCACACCACAAGGGCCTCCGGCGCCGGGCCCTGCGCCGCCGATCGAGGTGCGGTGTGCCAGGGAAACGGGAGGCGTACCGCGCTCCCCGATTCCTACCGCCCGGCGGGCACCGCACACGACGCGCCGCACTAACCCCGGCGGCGCATGGGGGGGAGGGGGCTGCAGACACCTTCCCCGAGCTTCCGGCCTCCCCCACCCCAAAAGGAAAGTACAAGAACCGGAGAGAGGAGATAAGAGAAAGGATTCTACTCTCCGGGTTAGGGGGTGGGAACTGCCCCTTCCTCCCCGAGAAGTTAAGCCATTGGCTGCTCAGCCTACCTCGAACCCACCCACCCAGCCATTTAAGCCTCTCTCAGCTCCCAGCTACCACCCACTCCTCCGGACTGATGAGACAGGCCTAGAAAGTTGGTGGGGCGGGGGGCGACGCGAAGAAAGCTCGGTGCTTGCAAGTTTAGGGGAGGAGGGGACACAATCCCCAGCGAAGTTGCGTGGCGGGGACTCGGCGCAGGCTTAGGGCGCTGCTCTCCCCTCCCGCCCCCGCTGGGCCGCTCCCCCCGGCACACTCGACCCTCCCTGCAGCTCCACCTGCCGGGCCAGCCCCGAGTCTTGAGCGGCGGAGGAGCGCACCCGCGCCCCGCATCCGCGCGCGCTCCCGCGAACGCGCGCTCCGAGGCACCCTCGTTCGCTTCTCACCCACTTCAAAGTTCATTCACAAAACTCTCAGACTTTCTCAGCCCAAAGGGGGTGAGCTGGGGAGAGGAGGCGAGAGCCTCTCGCTTCCCCCTCCTCCCCCCGGGGATGAAGGCCCGGTGCCCGCCCAGAATCTGCGACAGCATCAATTCCTCCCCGCACCCGGCGGATGTGCAGAGAGGGGTGGGCGAAGGGGGACAGATCTGGGGACGCGAGGGGGCACGACGAGGGGTGGGGTTGGGTGGGAGCAGTGAAGAGGAGAGCGAGGTTTCAACTCTGGGTTCACTCTCTTTCAAATCGGTATCTAAGAAAGGGAGAGGGGAAAAAAAACTTTTCCAGTGCCTCCCTCCACCGCTCCTCCAGGCTCCCTCCGCCCCTCGCAGTCGTGACTGGCTTCTCCCCTTTCGCCCCCTCTTCCCCAAATCTGACAACTCTGACAGATTAACAGGTAGCGGCAACGGCAGTTTTTCCCCCAGAAAAGTTCACATTAACCCTTCGGCTTCAGCCCACCTCACCCACAGTGCAAATCAGATCCTCGTCCCCCATGTAAGAAGCTCCACGCCCCCCCACGCGCGCGCGCGCCCCGTGCCCACTGCCAGCGCGCCCTCACCATGATCAGCGTGTGGTTCCTCTGCTCCGCCGAGGCAGCCTCCGCATCTTGCTGGGGTTTGTTCTGATGCTGCTGCTTGCCGGTGCCGGCGCCGGATTTCTTGGCCCTCTGCTCCAGGGTGCGCTGGTAGAGGCTCACGGTGTCCCGGCGCTCCAGCTCCAGCTGCTCCACCTGAGCCTGCTGGTACCTGTTCTCGCAGTTGACGTGGTGCCGCCGGCAGCCCTCGATGCGCTGGCGGAGCCTCTCCACCACGGTGCTGTGCTTGGGAACGGCCGCCGAGCCGCCACCGGGGCCCCCGGAGCCGCCGCAGCCGGCAGCCGGGTGATTGCTACTCGGAGCAGCTGGAGTACTATTGGGAGTATTATTCACACCGATCCCGGCCCCTCCGAGGCTGCTGTTCAGGCTACTGTTGATGCAAATACTACTGCCATTCGCGGCAGCAGCGGGGGCTGCGAAATCCCCCATCCTGCTCCCCGGGCACACTATTTTGGAAGAACTTTTTTTATCCACCCCCCTATCAGCCTCCTCCTTGGGTCCAAGGATTAAAATAGTTTAAGTGGAACGCGGGGGAGACGCAAGCACATGGATGGAAACAGAGATCCCGACGGGGCGAAAAAAAAAAGGGGGAGAGATTTGGGGGCAGGTTTTTTTTTTGTTTCCCTTTTTTTAAAACTGTAAAGCTCAAGGAGAAAAAAAGGGGGGATCAGAATGCCATCAGACACCTATCAACAAAAAGAATCACAACAAACTGAGCCAGCAGCAAATCGGGTTGCAACTCGGGGAGATCCGCTCCTCGCCTGCCTTCTTTTTATAATCCATTATTTTCTAATAAATTCCAGGAGATTTCCGGTGGTTGGCAAGCATTTTCTCCCTACGTACCGAGAAGCACACCCCATGTACACACACAAGCATATGCCTCCAGTGCGGACACGCGCGACACACACTCACTCCACACCGCATCGGAAAACGGCAAGCTTGCTTATTGCATTTTCCTTCCACAAAAAAGTTTTGGTGTTTATGCCGCCCCGTGTTCTCAAAGTACTTTGGCTGCTCAGTTGCATTTCACAGGAACCTAGATATCGAATCCTCGGGCTGGGGAAAGTAAACACATGGACAGTCCGAGGCGACTGCAAAAGTAGATCGGTGAAGTCCTTTGCAAAACGCCGCGCGGAGAGCAGCCCCTAACGCTCGGCTGGGCTGCCGCTGCCGCCGCTGCTCCTGCCACCATCACAATGATCAACTGCTCGCCGCCGCCGCCTCCTCCTCCTCCTCTCGCTCCTCCACCTCCTCCTCCTCCTCCATGCCAGCGGAGTGATATCAGGACGCGCGAGCTCAGTAAACACGGCAGCGGCGGCGGCTGGAGGCCGTGAGACAAGCCCCGGGACACGGCGCAAAACCCGGCCCGGACTCTCACCCGGCAGGAGCGGGCGCGGCACGCACCAGCACGGGGCTCCCTCCTCCTTCGCCTCGCGCTCCCCGCCCCTCCCACGCCCCCAAGCTCACTACTACCCATTCTGGCAAGTCGGAGCTGCCAGAAACGAGAAAAAGAAAGATTCTGGAGGATCTTGGGAATGAATCAACTTTTGAACTCGTGTGTGTGTGTGTGTGTGTGTGTGTGTGTGTGTGCGCGCGCGCGCGCGCGCGCGCGTACGCGCGGAGGTGGGCGGGGGCACATGGAAGCGCCTGGCTGGATTTCCTTATTCCAAGCGGGGTTATCAAGCGAGCCCAAGTTGTTGTTATACATTTATGCATTATATTGCAGAACTGTGCATGACCAGGCAGAAACATTGAAGCTCCACAGTAGTTGTCTGTCATCCCTATCCATGTGGAAAGAAAAAGGCAAATGAGTGACTTGTTTTTAAAACCCAGGTAATAAGTCTTCGCTAGTAATAACCCTGCTTATGGACACTTGTTCCAACTCTAGGCCAGTCTTAACACACAAATGCCGAATAAAAAGAAATAGGCACCAAAAGAAGTTGGAATATTATTTAATTTGCTCTACGTAATGATTGTTGTTATTAAGGCAATTATTGTTTTACTTACCCTTGGAAAAAAATTAAAGTAAAGCAAGCAGGGACTTGGAGGTGAGACTAACAGTACATTTTAACAGACTGTTTTGAACACTAGGTGCTAATGACAGCAGTAATTAAGGGTCCTTCGTAAATCAAGTGGAAAGATTGCAGATTTCATGGACTAGAACTATAGGAAAACACAGCATTTCACAGTTTGTCATGACCAAAACAAAAACAAGCCAAAATAACAGGTTTACTTTATTGCTAGATATATTTCTTTCTGTTTAAATGAATTCACAAATACAATCAAAATGGAAGCGCGACCACAGAAAGCAATCTAAACTTTCCATCTTTCCAGATACTATCTAAAAAAACAACGATAACAACAATTAAGGATCAAATATAATATCCTTGAATCTTGATCCATTGCATAATTAAAAAAAATTAAAACGGAGAAAATGTTTCTGTGATCATCAGGACAAAATTTTGATTGTGTGCTGTTAATAATAATAAGACATTTTGTATTATCTCAATAAATCTTATGGTATTAGCTTTTAGGGTAAAAATACACCCCAGTTTTCTAAAATAGCCAGGAATAAAAGAACTTTGGATCTCATGCATTAGTCATGAGATCTGATTTAAACCATCTTCATTTCTTGGCATTGCAGATTAGCATTGGATGCTATTTCTAACCTCATAATGTCAGCAATAAGAAGCTATATTTTTCTTCAATTAATCAGGTCTATATGGTGAACTATATCTTTAACATCCATTGGATTATATGGTAAAATGGGAAGCAAAATATTGATTAATGTGGTGTGAGTTTACCTCTAAATAGTGAAACCAATATGGGGGAGTATCTTTCTTTGAAGGTGCCATACTTTTTCACAGGGCTAGTGAGTTAACACGCAACCTTCTGTATCATAACTGCCCCTCCAAGTCTGTTAGAAAATTAAATTGAATTAGTTCTATAGCAAGAAGTCAGATCAGATTATAAAAACATAGAGAAAATTATAAAAATTATAAGACTTCACAAAGTGGCCTTTGCCTTTTTAACATAGTCACTAAATAATATCTCTATTAATTCAGGAAACACATGGCTACACTGTAAAGGAAGCTGTAACTACATGCACTCTGCTCTCCCTTCACTGTGTATAATTCTTATCCCTCCTCCTACCCCATCAACCTACATCACCCACACAAAACTACAACTTGATTTACAGAGGCAGCAAGTTTGAGGGTCTTGATCATTGGGTCTTCGGTTTTGAGACTTGGGTCCTAATTCTAGCTTTTTCCTGTGACTCTGAATTGAATTTTTATTTGAGAGTTTGTCATGCTGAAAAAAAAAATACAACAATAACAGCAACATGCATTCCCACCAAGATGTTTACCTCCCCTACCATGAAGGGAAACCAAAAATACACAAGAATTTGCATCCTTCTCTTTGGGGGAGCAACAGGTGGAGGAGCACACTTGGTGGCTTTACCCCAGAGCCACCCAATGACAAAGGCAGCTAGCTATTCTTGAACAACCACAGTATAGTTTGCTGCCTGAGTTTAGGGCACGGGCGGACTATACAGAAAAGAAAGGTTGACTGTTCATGGATCTATGTACATACACACACACGCGCCCATCTTTTATCTCATCAAGAGGGTAGGAGTGGCAGCCACAAGCTCTAATGTCAAAATGTGGGGAAAGGAAGGGCTATTAAACTGTGGTGGCCAGTGGGGTAAGAACCTTTGAGGAAACTGACCTGTGCAGTACTCTACGGTGACACACTTGAGGTCGGAAACCCCATCCTAATTGTGCAGGATGATTAGAAGAAAGAAGCAGGAAGTGAAGACGACTTGGGTCTTGAGCAACAGAAGCAAGTCACCCTGAATTTGAGATATTAATCAACTCCAGTGACCTTAGAAGCAGCAGAGGCCTGTATGCTGGCTACTCCTAGACTCTCCTGATACGTGTATGTATATTCCTGCAAGTTTGCCTGCTTTGTCGGTCACCATCCTAAAGAACTCCCTGAAAGTCATAGAGAAGCCCCAAGTTCTGGGGAAGCAATTTTAGTCTCTTCTGCTTACCAAGCACTCTGATAGCATGATCATCATCTTTTACGTGAGCCCACTGTGGAGCAAAATTGCCAGATCAGAGCTATGCACACATCACCAGTGCTGTTGCTCAAGGATGGCAAAGAAATCTGAGATGCTATGGCAGTGACGAGAAAGAAATTATGTGGCTGAATCCATACCTAGACTTTGATGATACCTCTCTGCTTGCCAAAGAAGGAGGGCTTGATGAATAAGTACCTGTACCTGGCTGTCCTGAGGCTCTGGCTCTGAGCCACAGTTGGCAGTTCTAAGGAGTTGAACTAGATTCCCTTTTCTTTAGGCCAACACTGCATCATGCTTCCATGTCCATCTGATAGGGCCCAGTGTCCCCGTGTCAAGGAAAAGGTCTTTGTGTAGAAACTCTAGTGTATATGCCACTTCTACTTCCCTATTAATGTGGGTCAATAGAACTGGCTTTGTAATTGTACCCTACAAATACTTGGTGACTAAGATAGAGTAGGAACTCTTTGCTACCCACCTGTGTGTAAGCAAACCTTTATACATGCCCACACAGTGGGCCCAGGAAGTCCTGAGTTACTAGCAGCAGCGGGCTGTGCCCTCAACTGTCTAGCAAGAGCTGTCACTTCAATAATTCCACAAATACAGTTATTTCCTTCTGTGTGCCAGGCACCTGTGGTAAGTGCTGGGAATATAGCATAACAGCGTATAGACCCCAATCCCAGTATCAGTGATGGCCAACCAGACTCAGGGCAGGAGATGCAGTGATGGGAACACATAGAATTGGTTTGGAGTGTATGCTCAGAGGTCTAAAGGCATCTCCAGAATTCACTCTGAAAATTGGGTAGAAGTAAACCAAGCAAAAGTTGGTGGCAGGTATGCAGTGGGGAGCTAGGCACCAGCCAGAGCAAGGTCCTAAGGCCTGTTATTTCAGCAGATCCACCAGTGGTTTCCTCTCCCAGGAGTGTGAGTGCGAGTGGGTCTGAAGAGAAACGAGGCTGAGGTGGGGGAGACAAGCAGCCAGATCGTGCGAGGCCATTCAGAAGTTTAGACTATAACTTTGGGACAATGCTGCCTTTGCAAGGATTAAAGCTGATTTACATTTTTTTATTTTGGCAATGCAGCAGATATATTGTTCTAGTGTTTTCTAGAGTGTGTTCTGAAGAACCTGGTCCTATAAATTGTTTCACTAGAAAGGCTTCTGAGCCAAGGAAGTTGAGGAAATGATCTGTACCACGTCTCTCTCTCTCAAAGATTCATTGCCACGTAAAGGCCACCAGAAATCGCGCAGCAGCGCACGTTTAACATTCTTTAACCTAGCACTGCCCAAAATCCTGCTGTGTCCCAGAGAAGGCAACACGCTATAGAAAGCTCGGTGTAGGAGAGTAGAAACCGAAGACAGTTGTAAACCCACTCAAGTTCACAGCAATTGCCTGGGTAGGGCATCTGTGACAAAGACCACACTCCCCTGACCATCTGCTCTGCCCAAGTGCCAGCGTCGCTAACGAGCACGTCAGGCTCACGGCCCTTCCCTAACCTGAACTGGATGTGTTGGATTGTGACTTTTAAGCAGTGGGAAAATGGCAACACAAAGGCAAAAATCCCAGAAGGGTAAATTTGACTAGTCTTTTCAGTGTCAGTACTTTGAGTATGTTGTATAGATACCTATCTCTGTATAGCAAAGCCTCTTTATTAGGGGGAAAGGTCGGATTTATTTAACCGAAAATCTTAATTATGTAATATCTTTAAAGATACAGAGTTTCATTACTTTTGAAGCATGCACTCTGTCTAGTCTAACCATGTCTGGCCTCTTGGAGCTATTTTAATGAGTTCCTTCTACCCTAGTAAACCAACTGTAGGTAGGGGACATCCCCTGTGGACTAGCGGTGTTTCAAAAGTTTGTTTCCTTAAGTATTTAAATATCCCTAACAAGACCCTGTTTACATTATTAATTTTCACTTTTTATTAAGAAGGGGTTTACCAAGCCCTATACCAGGTCATAAATTTTGAGAGGAATATGAATCAATGGAGTTTATTTTCTTATTCATGTATTTTAATATATATAAAATAGTTTTATGGTTATTAGGAGAAAGGTTACCTGAAGTCCATGGCAGACAAATTTTTAAAGGCCTTTCACTCTGTTTCACATATACCTCTACTCTCAGTGCTAAATAATTTGATATAATAAGGCATTTGCCTTGAACAATGTCTGGTTTCCATGTAGGATGTTGAAGACTTCTGAAATTTGGGGAAAATATTTATAAAACCTTGAATTTATTGGAGGCATATCAA